ACGGTAGTAAAGCCCTTAGCTGCCACTTAGCAGAACAAAGTCACTGTCGCTCATGTCTCCCTTCCTCACAAGGGGTTCAGACACAAGAAGGGCTCTGCAGCCCTTCTCTAAAGACAAAGCATTTCTCACGTCTATCAGTGCATTGAAAGCTTTCCTATTCACACTTATGTTAACATTCTTATCCTGGAAAGGTTAAAGTTCACCAGTTTCCCAAGAAGTTCTTCCATGGACAGTTTTTGGCTTAAAATTTCAGAACAATTCTTCCTTAGATGCAGCTGTTGAGTATTTGTGCCCTTGCAAAGTGGACGGGAATGTACTGAACTCCCCCACATACTCCCTGCATTGAGTGTGAGTGTTATCTCATGTCTGCAACTCCCTTCCTAAGAGCCATCCAGTCATATTCCAAAACAAGCAATGGCACTGGGTGCACAATGTAATTTGCCTTTTTGTACAAGATTTTCCATTGCAAATATTGATCTGACCACCACCCAATGCTAGCTTGTTTAGACTGAGTCTGGGTTTAACAGTCACAAGAATACTTAGCATGCCAGAAGGATTTTCAGCTTGTGATGTCAAAGTGCTTTACAAGCTCCCCATGATGAATGGAGAAACTGAGGTATAAGGTATGACTTTTCCAAAGCCATACCTTTGCTTCACAAAGTCAGTCACTTTTTTATTAAAGGGTTTAGCCTGGGCTCCTTGAACAATCTGAGCGTGTAATCCCACACTCAGGAAATTTCATTCAAGTTTAGGCTAGAATTTCTTTAGCTGTACTGTGTGTCCATTTACCCTGAGACAGGGGCTGCAGCAAATGCCAGAATTTCAAGTCAAAGAGAATTCAAGTCAAAGCACCACTGATGCAGTTATAGTTCATTCAGTATTGCACCAGTTAACACACCAGTTACTTCTCTGTATGTCTGCTTTTGATTTGGTGGTTTATTTGAGTTATGGTAAGGGCAGCAGAGCTGGGATTATATGTGCTGGTTTATGTTTTCAAATCTGGACAACACTGGCTCTTTTAGATCCGATAAGCAAAATTTCTTCTGATTTCAAAGAACCTCTTAGGATATCTGTTCTCTCTTTGCTGCTCCCCCCCCCCCCCCCGTGGTTGTTTTTGTACCCTCTTTATCCTCAAGATGGTATGTGATGACCCCTGGCTGTAAACTGGTAGCTACATTCTAAGCCCAATTCTGTTTGCCCAGTGGTTTTGGAGGATTTTGTCTTTCCTCTTAGAAATTTCAGGGATGTCAAGTCTGATTTCTCCTGATTTTGCTGGGATGTCTCAGTGATTTCTATTAGAGTTTTATATCTAAAAGCAAGATTTAGTTTGTGCCTTTGGTCAGAATACACCACCACAGTCAATCTGCCTTTTGGGCCCTTGTGTCAGACAGAAATGCTGCAGCCACATGGCACACAGCAGTGATAGGCTGTAAATGTGCTCTTGCACCAAGCGGCTTTGTGCCGGATCAGGTGTCAGCTGTCCTTTAACAGCTGGTAGAAGGACAGGATGAGCACTGTACCATGTGCGCTGCCTAATTTGATGGAAATATGATTATCTGGCCATTCTAGAAACAGATCAAATTTGCACTGTGCGTGATCCAGGAGTGCACAGATCTGGAAACAACTGTGGCTCTGACCTTCCCTCATCCAAAATGTGAGCTGGCCACTGAAATGAGATAATTGTTGACAAAGAGTAGATATTGGCTAACAGTTTGACTGGAAGTTCTTTGCCCTCTCTGCTTGCTCTCAGTAGATGGGGTGTTGTCATTTTGTTAATAACCTAGTCACAGGCAGGACACTAACTCGTGTTCCTCTTCCAAAATCTAGTTACTCCACACAAGTATCCTTTCCCCTACAAAAAGCAGTCCATTAGCCCCTGCAGGACCCTAGCAGCCATTTACTTTCCAGAAGCCCAGTGTGACTTAGCATCACGAGTTTCTCTCCTTCCTCTTTGTGGGGAACAAAACCCCAGCTATTCTCTCTCCTTTAGCCTCAGCTACAGTGAGCATGCCCAACACATCACAGCTGCACTATAAAAACAGCTGGGATGGGTACTGTCATTAATTTAGGAAGCAGCTGGATGCTGCTGGTGGATGGTAGTAACTGACCCTAATGCTGTTTTTATATTTTTGTTTTGTAACAGTCAAGCCTGCTTTACTTCAGAGGCTTGGCCACGTGGTTGTGCCCATAACCCCATGGCAGCAAGGAGACATGGATCTCTGGGTGAAGGCCAAGCTAAGGGCATCTTCCTACTCTCCTTGCTCACTAGCAATGAGTGTAGTTTCTGTTTGAGGACACGTGAGGTATTGGTAGCTATGTGGCTGGTAACTGCACTTGCTTTCTATGCCTCAGCCCAGAGGCTGGAGAACAACAAAACAGGGAAAAGACATGGTACTGAGCAGCAGAGGCTGCTTTTCAGGCCTTTACAGTTTGTCCTGTACTGTGTGGAGTTGTTGCCAGTCCACGCTGAAGGTTAACAGTGACCTTTCAGCGCGGCAGATTGTGTTTGTATAGTAGTGATGTAGAGTACCCCAGGTTCTCTAAGCCTGCACAGTTAAGCCAGCTAGCAGTAATACAGCCAAGAGGTTACATAGTACCAGGGAAGAAAGTATATTAGTTATCCACGAGTGTTTAGGTTAGATGTTTCTTAATGCCCAACCAGGCTCCTATTAGACACCACCTGATGCCTGGCTTGTAATGAATCTCCTCTTGGCATCTGTGTGCTTCCACTCTAAACTGCATTCAGTAATCAGTAAGGACTGAGCTGCAATTGGGAGTCTTTGCCTAGAAAATTAACTCTGGAAAGGAGACTCAGATCTCAAATACACCTTTTGAAGAGGCAAGACGACAAGGAATCCAAGGTAAGAGTTGCTACTGTTCATGTCTTTCGTATATGATATGTCAACACTTCAGCTGAAGTATGCCGGGGTTATTCGTAATACAGAGTTCAAGCCATGGTCCTCAAGGAGGTGGCAAACACTTCAAACCTTGAACAGCTGCTGTACTCCTGCTGTTGCTGACTGCTCAGCTGTAAAGGGGTTGATTTCTTCCTTTCAGCTGACTAGTGAAAAATGCTAGAAGCTAGCTGTCTGTAGCAATGACAGGAGGTCTTCTCTTTGTGGTTGGCTGTCCTAGAGCTGGGTCACCTGGATCTCTTTGTTTTAGTCTGACACTACTTTGACCAAGTTTTACTACTGGCTTGAGGGCTCTGAATGCCATATGCAGCAGCTGAAATCTGTTCTGTGCAGAGATGGGCCTCATGCTGCTCTTGTAGACATTTCCTAATTATATATGGTTAAATGTTAAACAGGTTTTCCTGTTCTTCTTCTTAACTAATAATAACATGGTAAAAGAAAATAATGTGCATATATGAGTCTGGTTTAAGGGTACTGTTGGGCTAGATTGCCTACTTCCAACCTTTGAATTCTTGTTGCATTTAAAGGAATAATAGAAAAGATTACCACTACACTTTTTCATAGCAATCTCATGGCCATGTTCCTCAAATCCAAAATCTATCTGGAAGAGCAGCAGGTGTCAGCCTCAGTCCCTTTCTATTCTGTTGTGGTTTTGTGAGGGAAATTACTTCCAATCTTTCTTGCTGCTCATGTTTAATGGATAGATGATGCCTCTTTCTTATGGCGTAGTCAGAATTTTGAGAGTTAACAGTTACAGGTCTGAAATTGTTCAGCATGAAATACTTGTTGTCTGTTGTGCAAACTGAAGTCCTGCAGTGCTAAGTCAAAAACAGCTCAGTAACTTTATTGTAACTTCCCTTTACTTAGTTTGTATGTACATACATACTAGCCACAGGCTGTAAATAGGTAATTAGGGTCCCCCCTTGCAGAGCAGCTGACAAAAGCATGTTCCTTGCTCTCTGGGAACAGCTTCTTGTGTGTGAACCCACCCAGAGCGAGAGCACTAGCAGTGTCAGTAAAGAGGTAGTCTGCTTGTTGTGAGTGTGCTATGAAATACAAGTTAACTTGACAAACACACAACTTTGCCACTGTTGTTTTGTCCCTCCATGTTGCTGGGCACCTCCTTGCCATAAAATGGCAGTCAAAATGAAAGTGGAGGCTTATCAGAAGCGTTTGTCCAAAAAGAATTTCAACCAAAAATGTTAGAGTTTAGTTTAAGAATGCCTCCCACTGGAGAGAGCCTATTTCAGTTCCCCATTATAACTGAAAATTAAATAATTACTTGAATGCGTCAGTTTTGTTACCCAAGTGTTAACAAACTGGGGAGGAAACTTTGTTACTAAGACAATATTAAGGTAGTAACCTACATTTGACCTTCTGGCTTTTCCTACAGATGGGGGTGGATGACACCTAAAATGTGGGTGTACTCAGAGGGTGTGGGTATTTCTTGATATCTCTGTTCTATTTCTGACAAGTGCTGCCACACTGATAGGGCAAACTGCCTAGATACGGCTTGGTAACTACTTAGCAGCAAAATTCTTCTATGTAAAGCAGAGGAATTGAATCATGAGAAAACATTGCAGCTGCTTTTTCATTTCCTGAACAGGCTGGAGTTAGCATGTGGGACCCAAATACTATGACACTGGGTAGATTTTGAAATATCTATAGCCTCTTGCACTTACAACAGTATTTACTTGACAGAAAAAGAGATAGGTAGAAAGGAAACCAGTTTCTTGAGTTTAACAGCAAAAATTTGAAATTATTTGATAGGGTAGAAACAGCAGTCACCACTCTACTAGCTGTCTGTCGGTGATGTAGACCACGTGGTACATGTACGCAAAGATGATCTGTAACAGGATTTCAGGGTAACCAGGACTGGGTACTACAGTGTCTTGTGTGAAGCTGTTTGGCCTCCCAGAGAAGTGAGAAGTCTTAGCAAAATCCATGTGTCACACATAATTAGAGGAGATGCATCTCAATGGTTTAATTTTTTTTTTTTTAATTAAGATAATCTGCAAAAACATCTACCTAATTTTATTTAAGTATTTCTTGGTTTATTACAGTTCTCTTTGTGAAAGACTTGAGTGTTCAAGAAGCAAATATATTAAATCTCTCATACTTTAGATTTCCTCTCATGCTGTACATAATAAGTGGTGTTGTAGTTGTCTCTGACAGCTACCATTTACACTGCAGAGGCCTAGTTGAAGGTATTGTGGACCATCTTTCTGTTACTGTTCGATTCAGACGTGGTCACAGAAACCCGTCGTTAACATCTTCAGCGGTACACTTCATACAACCTAGTGCCTTAAATGCCGTTCAAGTTCCTGCAGTTCCTCTGAGCCTGTGCTAATGTGAGGTACTAAGAGCCCTTCAGCACTCACACAGATGTGCTGCATAATAACTTGGGGAAGTGTGGGAAGGACAAGTGTGCCTGTGCAAAGGACTGCAGGGAACTAAAAGAAAAGAGCTTGAAGCAATTTTTATTCCATTCTTGAAGCAAGAAATTAGAATAAGGTACTGTAAGTGCCTCTGACCTTAATTCTGTTTCATTTAAGGAATAATTGCATTGACCATTACAGCTTTTTCTTCTGTCTAGATTTCTCTTTGTCTTTCCTGCTATGTCTTAGCTAACAGTTCCTCCCTGCTCTCTCCCTTTTGTGTAGCAATTTGATGCATTTTCATTGACTTGGTTCAGTTTTAAGACCTTGGCAAACAAGGCCATTCTTCCCCCAGAAATAGCGCGCTCTGCTTCAGATTAAATCACCAATTTTTTTTTTTTTTTTTTAACCATCTCAAAATACTGAAAAGGGAGGAGTGGCAGAAGGTATCTATTGATCCTTTGCTAAGTACAGTGGCAGTTGGAAACGTTCTTAAATACTAAACTAGAAAGATGGATAGAGCTGAAATCTGTGAAATACAATGAACCTGAACAGTGTGAATTCTTTGAAGAGGGTTTGTTGAAGAACAACCACACTAAAAGTGCCTGGAAAGCAACCAGGACATGTCTATGCCAGCAATCCCAGAGGTGCAAAGTCTGTAGATAGCACAGACAGAAGGGCATGTGGGCAGAAGAGGAGGAAAGGATTAGCCAGGTGGACACAGGAGTTGAAAGGAGAATGCACTGATGACACAGGTATGCAGATTGCATGAGGAGGTCATTGGCAGTTCTCTCTTGTGCTCAGAGGAGAGGGATCAGGGCAGTGCAGCACTGCTCTGTGTTGTTTTTGTCACTGTTTTTTTAAACATGAAAAATCCCGGGGAGGTGTCAGGGAAACCATCCAACCAAGGCAAAAGCAATGCTTGGGCTCATCGTCTGTCCTTATTTTGCTGCCCCAGAATCTAGTGCAAAGCAGAGCCGTGGATAGCATGGATTTCGTTGTATTAGGAGATGGCCATGATAGGGAGTGCCTGATGTTTTCTTACTACTGATGTGTCTCGGTCCTTCGAGTGTTCCTCTCTAGCTGCATTCATTGGTTTTTGTATTTTCATCAGTGACACTGATAAAGAACACTGGAGGGTTCCCCACCTTTCTCCCTGGTTAAGCGCATGCTATAAGGGGAACTTGAAAGGGAGCTGTTAAAAGGAACTTAAGAGAGCTTCTTCCTTGCTTTGCACAGCTAAGACCGTGCAACATCAAAGCTATCTGCTTTCTGAGTGTGCTTTCCACCACTCTGTCAAAAATGCCTGCATGGCCTGTGCAGTGAGAGAAGGGGATCCATGGCAGAGAACATGGCTGCTGTGACCATGAGGGTGGCTTACAGGCTGGCTGGAGGCGGGCCTCCATCCTGGAGAAACAGCATTTGTTTCCTTGATCTTTTTCCTTTAGTGCAGTTAAGTTCTGGGCAGGATTTTCCACCCACATTCGCCAAGCTTTGCAACACTGATGGCAGCACAGTGTGCTGAGGGTAGGAAGAACTGTGGTAAGAAACACAAGTCCTAACCTCTCTGAGGTGAAGACAGTTTTTGCAGACAGTGTAGGCCAGGAGGTGCTGGGATGGGGCAGGAGGAAGGAAGAGGAAAGCGTGGTCAGTTGATTATCTCCTGACTGGTAATTGTAGAAGACAGTATTATGGGTTGCCCTTGGTCAGCTGAAGCAGACCTTGTGTGCTGTTTGTTTTCAGTAATAGAATATTTTTAAAGTCTGACGACTGGGGCTTCTTTTCATCAAAGCTTTTCGAGGTAAGACCCTGGCACAAAGCCTCGCTGCCCATTCCTTTCTGCTGTCCACCATCCATCCTCATTTTCTTCAATGACAACTACAATGTCTCCTTCACTGATGTCCAGTTCATCCATGTTCTGAAAGGAGACAGGAAAAGGAAATGTGGTTAGCCTGAGAGCATAGGAGGACCCAAACATGTATCTGGTGGGGTTTTTTTACCCTGCCTTTCATCAACAGTCTGCCAGTGTCCTTCTGGTTGGGAATGAGCCTGAAATACCAGACAGTGAGGTATTAAACACTTACTGAACTGGCTATTTCCTTAAGATCCTCAAATTTCCCCAGCCTCCACGGTGTGTCCTCCTGAGCAACTTGACTGTTGTGTTATTGGGGAAGGCCAGAAAGGGTTAAATATGACTGTCCTAAACCAACTAACCATGACCATGCATAGTCTGCAGGTGTTGCTAAATAAAACAGTGCACAGCTTAATTCCCGAAGGAGATGATAACTGTGTGTCTACTAATCCAGGCCTTAAATAGGTCTCTCAGTTCTTTTAATACAGAACAGCAGTGACCAGTGGAGGTACAGCAACTCTTCCTGACATAGGTAACTTTTATCTCCGAGTCAAATGGAGTAGTTGCAAGTAAGCTATTGCTGAACTCTCAGGCAGCTATCAGTATGTTCAGTGGTGCTGTCCTATTTTCCATGGGAAACCACTTTGCTACCCGCAGTGTAGTAAAATAGAAAACAGTGTAAGAGAGGCTTCCAGATATGTTGACGAGTCAGCTAAATCTAAATTTAATGTACCTGACTAGGTAAGAACGGACTCAAAAAGTGAGACGCCTCAATATACAATATACTAAAAGTAGTAACAGGCTCTTTTCTCAGCAGGGAAAATCTGTGTGTGTCACATTTTTAAGGCAACTCCTCGAGTAAGGATCTGACAAAGAAATCCAGCAGTTTCCTCAGGGGAACTGCCATTAACGGTGAGGTACTTTCAGCTGTGCTTGGATGAAATTTCAGGCAAATAATAAAAGTGTTTAAAAAAAGCAAAAAAAGAACACATAATAAAAGGTGTCAGAATGCTGCTGTACCTAAGAAAAAGTGCTCCTTTCCAACCCTTTCTCTGTTTTCATAATTTATCTATTTTGTCACATGCCAGCATTTCTTCAATGTTGGCTATTGATGGCAGGTCCCTTGGTGTGAGGGTCTCTCTGCACTGTAACATAAGACCTCCTGGATGCTGTTCTTCTGCTAATCTAAAGCTAATAAAAGGAACCTTTAAACTGACATGTAATTGAACTGTGAAAATCCCATTAGGGGAAGCTAATAGTTTAGCAAGAGTCCAAGAGGTTCTGGAGTCCATCTGAATAAGCAAATTTTCATAACCAGTCCATTCATAACCTTTTACTAATGGTACTATGCCTAGATAGGTCTGAAGCCACTGAGACTTCAATATCCCAGTTAAGGATGCAGGTTGCTTTTTATAGCAATCTTCTGGTACATGGACCACATCCACCGTGATTCTGCAACTTGCAACATGGAAGTACAGGGGAAGAGTGTCATTTTTGGGGGTTCGGTCCTCTCTGGCATGGAGTGCCAGTGTGTTAAAACTGGAGCAGGACTGTCCAGATGGTAAGTGAGATCAAATGCAGAAGAGTTTCTAGATAAGCATCTGTCACATATTCTTACATGAGGAATCTGTAGCCATTTTCCTTAGGAAAATATTTCTCAAGAGACGTAAGTTCAGAATGCACAATACTGCATACTTAGCCATCATCCCCTAAAAATAGTTTTCCTTGTGTTTGCGGTCTCCTGTACATCTAGAAGGAGGTTGTAACAGCTCAGCAGTAATTCAGAAGTGATTACACATTAGTGTAGTCTTGCAAAGAATCTTACTGTTTCATCTTGAGGCAGCATAGTCTACCGATATGTGCCAAGAACTGGCAGTTGGGATTCCTGGCTTCTGCATGTGACCTTGACCAATAATTCTGTAAGTGTCTCTCACTGTAAGGTGAAGCCAACACCTCCCTCACGGAATTAACACGTCAAAGATGTTTGGATCAACATCATCAATTTTAAATCTGATGCTATGAAATATTTATTTTGAAGCCTTTCGTTACCTGGGCTGTGTAGTCATAGAGTACTCTGTAGTCCTGTGATGATGTGATTCCAGCTTGTTCATTTACATAAATGGATGCATAGACTCCATCTGTTTTCTCTGCTAGGGGAAGGGGGAAAAAAAACCACAGAAAAACAAAAAAACCCACAGAAACGGAGTTCAGTTGCTTATAAATGCATGGGATCATATGCAAGAGTTCACAAATACAAGGGTTTCTGTTCTCTATCTGGAGATGTACATGTGTAGAAAAGCTGCTGTGAACTGTAGGTAAAGTCTTGCACAAAAACTGCGTCCCATTGATTAGATGACAATATACCCACTGAACTTTGTGGGAGGTCAGAAACTAGCTTTAGCCTCATCCAGGTTGGGAGAAATGTTTACCCTGCTAAAGCACATCCAAATGGATTGTGCTTTTTTTCCCTCTTTCCCAAAGAGGGAAATCCTGTGATTAAAGTGGTTTAAAATGGGTGCTGCTGGTGGCATAAAATTCCAGCAGTTCAGTGACTCACATAGGGCTTTTCTTTTTCCGTTGAGAAAAATGGAAAATACTGTGCCAATGGGTCACCAGACATTTCCCAGCAGTTTATAGAGTTCCCATATAGCTATTTGTCACTGACATAACTTTTTTGGCAGATGTTGTTTTAATCCAGCTTGTCATAATTAGGGAAACCTCTTATTCCTTCCCAGCATCTGCCTGGGAGCTTCCCCTGCCATTGAGGCAAGCAGAAGTTTCCCACATATGACTCCTTGGTGGGATGATATCACTCTGACAGCACACAGAGTGACCGGGGTGCCCGTACCTTCCCCTAGTCAATCCTTGGTGTAGCTGTCCCGCTCTAAGGAGCACTGTCAGCTCCTTGACTTTTCAGATATTGAAAGACAAGCATGGGAGCAGTTGAAAAAGCTGAATGCAGAGAGTGTTTGCCATGCCTGAGGGTCTTATCCAGGGAATGCTCTCCCCTCCTGTCGCTAGCCTAAGGAAATTCAGGAGTGACTACCCTTAACTGCTCAACACTGCATTGCTCTACACCTGCCTGAGCCCAAGCTGACACTTGGCAGGTCCAGCTGGCGTTTGACAGCACTGGAGAGTCTCCCCTGGCTGAGCACCAAATGCAACAAATAAGATGGTCTGGGCTTCATTTCTGGGTGCCCAAGCAGGCAGGCCTGACAAAGGAAATTGATTTGGCTATGTTTTAAAGCTGTTCTAAAACAGCTTTTTATTTTCTTTAGGCAAGAATCACAGTTGAAATGTTTTTGTTTTAAATCAAACCAATAAAAATGTCATAAGCTGTTACTTTCTGCATAGTCAAAATACTGTGTTTTAAATGTCATCTGATAAATGCCTAGTTGTAATGGTTACAATAAGACAGTGTAACTGTGAAACAAGATGGATATTTGCACTCATAAGGCATGAATCTGGTCTGTTAAAAACTTTGCGTATTCTCTTGGGCTTTTTAGAGGTAGTGTATTCTACCTTCGAAGAAAACTATTATCTAAGTCAGACTGTGTTGTTCTGAATATACAGTTCCCCCCTTGCCTAGACAGAGGTTTTGAACATTATATGGATTATTTGGCACTTTAAACTAGGAAATTTGTTTAATACACACCCAAGCTAAATTGATTTCCAGACAACTCTTACTCTTGACTGCCAACATGTGAATATCTGCTGTACTATTTCTGCTCTGTGTCAAAGGTTGATTTAGCAATGTGATCTGAAACAACCATATCTGGAAAACTTATTTCCTGAAGAGGCATACCAAGAGGAGGGGCTGAAGGAGTGGCACTTTCTGTGTTGTTTTTGCTGCTTCCATGCAGTAATCCGGAGAATCTGCAGAACCAAGGCAATGACAAATGAGTGAACAGGACTGGGTATGAGCATTCCTTCAACTCAGCTGTCTGACTCAACCTTCCCTCCGTCTGTTGCAGCACTGGGTAGATGTCACCTCTTCCTGTGGCTGTTTATTTTCATTTATGCTGTAGATATATTTATCTTCAGTTAAAAATATATTTTTAAAAAAATGCAGCAGAATACTGAACCATCAGCCATCACTAAATTGTGCATAAAATGTATCAAATAGTATTTTGTTGTTGATCCAAAGGCTCATGCTGCAAAACTCCAATTATTTCACAACATTAATATGAGAATTATCAGTTGTTTATAAGAGATTAGCATCTCTTTGTCTTTAAGGAAAACTCTGATACAATTTAAAATACAAAGCTTGTATAATGAGCCTTTCAAAAAACTGTGAGTTTAAGTGAAATTCTTTTTTTTTTTTTTCCTTTTCTATCCCTACGTATTTTCTATATCACAGCTGAGTATTGGAGACTAAGTAAAGTGAGAAAATGGGTTAAGATTCTCAAGCATAGATAGAAATAGCATTGCATTCTTAAGGCATATTTAAAGGGTCTGATTTTTCAGCTGGTGAATGCTCGATGTTTCTGGAAGATGGACTTCGAAACTCAACAGTTTCTGAAAAACTCAGGCTGACTCTCTCCAGGGTACTTGCCCATGCAGAGCACAGTTGTATCCTAAATGGCAGTACAATTGTCTTCTGTAACTGTATAGGATGCAGCATTAGAATTCATTATTATAGAAGATCCGGTTTCCAGCTGAAAAACAAAGTGTTGTATATAAACCTTATCAGCTCACTAACAAGCCTGAACCCCATTTTAAATGGGAGATCACAGACCACTCCTTGTCTTGGCCATGTAATAAGTCTTGTCAAAATGTAAAGCTCTTCTGCTTTAAATACAATGCCATTCCCACTGGGAATTAGCCATTTTAGAATAAAATATTTAAACCAATAGATCTACCATGCTCTCCTGGTGATATAACTGCATCCATGTTACAGCATTTACCAGCATAAGTGGATCAGGAAAAGAAAAATTGCCTCCCTGATCATCACAGTTATTCCGCTAAGTGTTTTTTCCTTTGGTCTAGATACAGAGAGCAGCTCTTTGTTCTGCTCAGCTGGGCAGTGCAGTAAGCCAGGAGGTATTGCTGAAAAAGACAGCTCTCCCCAGCCTTTGCTCCCAGCAAGATTGAACAAAGTGTTTTTGTTGCTATGTGCCATGACTCACTAGGAAAGAGGAAATAAATGACTGCTATCCATTGCTGGCCAACTAATTGTTTTATGAACTTATCCCCTGTCTCTCTTCTCACTAAGGCCATGGTAAAATTACTCTGACTCTGGTTTTAATAGGTTTACTTCTTCTGTCAAGTTATATTTATTGATACGTAGCCACCTCTTGCTACGATGAAGGAAGTAGTAACTTTCCAGATCCTGTTTGCTGTCATCATACATTGCTGTTCATATGGAGAAATACCTATTTTGGGAACTGAAGTTTGCCACTCACCTCTTCATCATCCCACAAGTCTGGGCTGGGCTGCTGTTGCTTCTGTTTGGTTCTCTGCTGTAGTAGTTCTCATATCCTATTGCATCTGCAACAGGGCAATAAAAACGAGATGTTCAAACAGGCAAAACTTTTTTTCTCCCCAGCAGAATGCAACCAACAGTTGCCAACCATGAGGGGCTGCTGGAGCAAACTGCAATACAGCGCATATCTGCACTCGCCTGTAATGTGGTTAGAGCAGCTCAGGGGGACCTGGGGTCTTGACAAAAGCCATTCAAGTGATTATAAGCAGATATATCCATGGTAGAAAGGCATTCTTGACCTGAGGCAAGCACAGTCAAGGTCCTGAAGAGCCATTCTAATAGCTGTGGCTAACCCTAATTAAGAAGGCAGTTTCCTCCATGACTGTTCCCTCTGTTGTCTTAAAGCTCAGGATTTAAGGGAGCAGAGCATGGTCCTTGTGAGCCTGGGACCATGTTCATGATACAATTGGCTGCAGTGTGTTTTGTTTCTTTTTTTTCTTAATGTATTGAGTCAGGAATTTTTGTCAGAGCTGGGGAGATTTCTGAACATTATTGCCAGCAGCAATAATGAGCAATTTCCTGGTCTGTGCTTGTGCTTGAGTGTCTCCCTACCTTTCATATCTCCCCCATCTACCTCCTGAGAGCCGATTTGCTGTTTACGCAGAGATATTTGGGGTTTGTTCACTCAAACGCAGTTATCTTAGAGTTCCTTCACTCTCCCCTGTGGTGTCATTAAGGGTGAAATTGAGACCATTTCTAAGTCTAGCTTTACGGATGAAATAGTCAGAGTTGGATTTATTTATTTTTCATCTCATAGCTCCCAGTGTAGTTGCTTAGAGCTGGTGGCCGCACACCCTTCCTGCCTTCTCTGTGTTAAAGCCAAACAAACATGAGTGAAGTCTGTGATACCGTATTATCTCAGTTCTGATACCAGCAAATAAAGAAAGACATTGGACTTGTGCTAAAGGTTGTGTTGACATTCTCACATTGGGTCAGCCAAGATCATAAGCAGAGCAGGCATGTACAACTAGTGAGTGTGAAGGATCCCTACAAATAAGACTCACAGTAATTAGGGAGTGTTTTGACCAATTTAAGGGTCTCCTATTACCCTTCTAGATTGTTACCTTGGTATAGTTTCTAGTCTATAATACGTTGTAAGATTAGGTAGAAGAGAGGAGTGACCAATATCATCAATAAACCAAAAAGTTTTGATCAGGATGAAGGTCTTCTGCTACACAATGCAAAACCACATATGAGTTTCCTCCTGCATTTTGCAAATAATAAATCAACAGCTCACCATGTGCTACTGTGCAAACTCATCAGCCAGAGCTGTGGAGATATTAGGATGTTAATTCCAGAACACGTCACCTTCTAGAAGGCAGTAAAAAAAAAAACAAAAACAAACCGAACAAAAGAGCAAGTCAGTTGTTTCTTTGCCTTTCATAAAGCTCTCAAGGGTTTCCCCCACCTATTTCTTATTGGAAATGAGTCCTGACATAGCCAAGAGCTGTTTGCAGAAAATTGCCTAGGTGACTGGAGAATGAGAAATCTCACATAGACAAACAAACAAAACAACCCTAGCTGAGAATTACAAATTTCTTAGTATGCAGAAGTTGCTTCACACTGTTGCAAAGCATAGTTCTCCCTCCTGCCAGTGAAAATGTAGTTTTTCCTTAGTAAATATTCCTATATCAGCAAATTTAAATCCCCTATGTGAAGAAGAATAAACTATAGCAGCAAAATGGCATCCAGTGCACCAGTATTAATGTATTCATTTAAAAAAAATCCCCAAATCCCAACTTGTAATCATCATAGGCATAATGACAGAAAGGCTGAGTGAAAAACAGACCTCAGACAGCTCAGTGCTGAGTTAGTGGCAGCATCCAGCTCTGATGAAGAAGTTCCTGCAGTGTAATTACTGCCAGCCCTAAGCTCTGCGATGAAATCAAAGGGGTGTAAGCTGTTCCTGTATGAGATGATTATCCCTTGGGACAGGACATTCATACTGCTGATGTTTGTACCTATACAACTCCTAGCATGGAAGGTTTTTGTCAGTATAAAATTTTCTTATGCCAGTATAGCTTATTCCCCACTCTGAATGGATAATGCTGAGGGCATACTAAGGGGATTTTCTCTTTGACGTAGCAGTATGGTATTAGAGCAGATAGTGGAAGTGAAACAGTATCTGTGCACAGATTAAAAAAAAAAGTGGAGGAAGAGATCTTTTCAGCACAGATATGTATCATCAACTACTGAAGAGATGAAATAGGGATTTTTCTCTTCTTTTACAAAGGCTGTGAATCTTTGTTTACTGCAGCAGCTGCACAGAAGTGCAAGCATTCACTCACTCTGTAAATACCTTGTATTGCTTGTTGAAGTAAGAGGGTGTGGTTTGTATCTGGCTGTGTGAAACACTAGGCAGCCTCCTTTCTGGTGATGTGTTTGGAGAACTCCTACCCTGGAGCAGCATGTTTTCATTTTACAACTGCTCTTAGCTCTTGCTGTCTCAGTGTCCGTTTCAGCCCAGAGGTTTTGATCATTGAAATTGATGAAAAGGCTACTTTGGCTTGAATGGACAGAGTCTGTGAACCTTACATTGCTTCTGCATGCTGGGGCAAAGCCACTTTCATTAAAAATTTCCCCCAACTAGAGTCTTGCCCTTATACAAACAACTTCCTGAGAGGACAAAAGATGTTACTCCCCGTTGGGCAGGTGGAGCAAAACAGAATACAAAATCTGGTCTTCTCTGTGCTGCAAATGAAGAGGCAGCATCTCTGTCAAGGGGACACTAGGGTGCAGTTACATGATAAGCTGGATCTGACTTGTCACCACTGCAGGAAATTGAGTTTGCCATCTCTGCAAGGCAGTTTGCCACCTCCTTAGCAGTGTCAGTTCAGATGTACTGTGAAATGAGCCTGGTTGCAAAGCCAAAACAACCTTTTTTTCTTTTTTGGAGGGTTATTTTTAACCTGGATCATTCAGCTATCCCACTCACAGTGCTGCACAAGGAGCAATGGCAGCACAGTGCGGAGGAAGTGAGCCGCGGCAGATGGGAATGAATAGCCGGAGCAGAAACTCCTCCAGCTGGCTTCACCTCCAAAGGACGTGTACTGCACAACTGCAGCCTCAGCCTAACGGGTGACTCATCTAACAAGACCAATAGGAATAATTACCTGGAGGTTGTGTTCCTGTCATTTTAGTCTTAATGAAATAGTCCACGTCTGACTCTACAACACAGTTCTCCAAGCTTACCCGAACCTCTTCATATAGCTACAAAACAGAATTGAATTTAATTTTTAACATTTCACATTGAATTAATGATTAATGCTCTTCTAATAATTTTCCCCTCAAGAGACACTTTATACTTGGTACATGCCTGACCTGGATGGATCTTTGGCCTGTGCCTTGTACAGACATTCTTGGAAACACAATTGTTTATTTGTGCTCTGGATATTCTTGTAAGAGAGGAGCATGAAGGCAGTCTAGGGCCTTTCAATGCAATAGAGAAATTAATAGCAGGAAACAACCATTCAAAGTCAAAACTGGTGTATTCTTTATGTCTTCCAATTCTGAGACCGTGACTGGATGCCTTTCTGAAGGTTGTGCCTGAGCCTAAATATACTCAGCTGAGCGTTCTGGTAGCTGGAAGCATTCCCCAACAAACTGAGGGGAGGAGACATGTAAGCGCCACCAAGCGTGACACAGAGTGTCTACATCCAGGCATAAATCTGGTTTACATCTAGAGGGAACAAGCTAGCTTGAGAATAGTCCCCCCTCACTGAACATGCACAACAGCCGGTTTGCTGGAGACAGTCGGCATGCGTAGAGAAAGGCAAGCTAGTGCTGTATTGTTAGAGCAGTCTTTATCCTCCTCTTCCTCCTCTGCACGTGAAGCTACTTGGCAGGTGCCCCTACCTCATCATCCTTCACACACTGCATGGAGAGCTGGTTGCAGTGAACCCACAGCGAGTTGCGGAGGATGGTGATGCGGTCGCACTCCTGGAGCTGGAAGACCTAAAGCCAAAGAGGAGATGTGATGTAGCCTTGTGGTAGTTATTTATTTGCATTGCAGGCAGTGACAGGGCTGGGGCTTCTCTGGACCAAGTTCGTAAGTCTGCAAACTGTTCTGAAGGATCCTTTGTAAAGGATGTCTTTTTGGCTACTGGAGAGACTGCATCTACTTGTTTATGCTCAAGAATTTGTTTTAATTGATTGCACCAAATCAAGTTAGGTTTTATAGACAAAAATAAAGCAGGGGAGAGGAATCAGAATCTGGATTTGACTGCTACCTCTACTGCCAAGGATTTCAGAGTCAAGGTCCTGTCTGCCCATCGCACTGAAATCTTGATGTTTAACAGATCAGTGGTGTACTGGCATGAAAGGGTTGTATTTATGTTAGAGGTAGAGCCAAAACTATACATCTTTGCCTTGTAAAATGTCTTTCCAAACTTTTCTCTTTTGAAACTATTTGAGGCTCTCTGGAGTTACCTCTGTTCATTTCTAAGGTTATTTTCACGGTAAAGAGAAGGCATTTTTCTTTCTTCAGAGTTTACTCCCTTCCTTCATCTGTCTGATTTTCTCATGTTGTTGCACAGCTTGGGAAGAATGAAGGGGGAAGAGAGAGGAGAGGTGTGAACTGAGTTGGGGGAAGAGGCAGATAAACTCTTTCTTTAAAGACTTTAAAAAAAAAAAACAAAACCAACCACCCTAATCTCCAAGTTGTACTGTTGTAAGTAGAACATCAACTTTTGGTTTTCTATGAGGTGTGAAAAGCTCAGATGCTTCCAGCCATCTGTTTCCATCTCTATTTGCTAGTAATTATGTCCGGAACACCACAAATGTATACAATATTCAGCAGAACATTCAGGTGGGTACACTGCCTGCCATCTAATATCTTACCATCTAAAAAAAGCAGAAAAGAGTCTGTCAAGGGAGTAAGCTGGCATTGGGACCAATTTCTGAGACAAAAAGCTTTAAAAGAGAACCCAAAGGGTGGAGAATGAGTCTTTCAATATCAATTCTGAACAAAAAGCCTATGGGTGCAGCCTAGCCCCCCAGGGGCTGCTGAAATAGCACAAGAGCCAACTGGGAATTTTCCAGGTAAATGGTGTCCTGTCAGGAAATGCAGCTCATCAAAGAGGGAAGTGTAGCGATTCTCTCAAGCCCTTTGCAAAGTACAGCTGGGCATTTTGTTAGACACATCCCTCGTGTCCCATTGGCTTGTGCAACAGACTACTAGTGAACCTGGGCATCTTGTGCCAAGGAATATGGATGATGAAGGTCATCCCAGTGCTGCCACTTGCTAGCCAAGATTTTGGGGCTATTGGTGTACACCGGTCAGCTAGAGACCTAAGCAACCTCAGCACTTCCAGATTCCCCACTATGCATCCAGAAGTTTGGGATCTTAAGCTGCTATTTCTACTAGTTAATAGTTTTAAATGCCTCAAAAAATCTATCAGTTCTTCTATCTAGAAGTGCTTTTAAAAGAAGGCATTAAAGATGCCCTTCCTTTATGAATGGTTGGTTAAATTAAGCAGCAGGCAGGCCACAAGCTCTGTAGGCCATTCAGAATTTAGTCATGCAGGAGAAATGAAGTGTGGTAGGTTGTATAACACTTTGCTTGTTTGTTGACTTTTTAAGAAGGGGGAAAATGTGCATCTTGGGAAAACTAAGGCTTGGCACAATTTCTATGGGAAGTCTGCTGTGCCAGCCATGGGACTTTCCAGTCTTCCCAGATAGGGAATATGTAAGAGGAAGAAGAGAACTGGAAAGCTGTGCTCCTGGCATTTTATTTTATTTTATTTTATTTTATTTTATTTTATTTTATGTGGAAATAAAGCCTGCAACAAGTAAACATAGCAAAATCATACTTTAGTAGATGGGCAAATGAATTTGAAGGATTAATATGACCGAATGTGTAGCTGATTTGGATGTCAACCAGCTCCTGTAAATTGTTGTGCAAAACTTAATAGCCAAGTGCAAATCTCCTTATCCATCCTCAGCATAATGGAAATAGAGACTTTTCTACCACCACCACCTTTCAGTTGAAAGATTACTGCATGGCAGAGGGCAAATATTCTTGCAGGTGAATATAAAGTGCTATGCAAGATAAAGATTCTGAGTGGCTTGGATATCTTTGTTCTCAGAATGCTACAGTATATACTTTTTTAGCTTAGCCAGAAAATTTTATTTTTAATCTCCATTGAACTTGTGAGATTTAAAAAAAAGAATTAAACAAACACAAAAACCTCTCCTGCACGGAGCAAGAAGCCATTCTGGAAGCTTCTTGCAAAGCATAATCTAAAGGGAATCTTTTGTTTGTTCATTTTTAATGGATTAATTGAATTCTTTTCATTTCAATTTCAAAATTCATTTTTTAAACTAAAAATGAACAAAAAAGTAGACATGAAAAATTCATTTTCTACTGAAATTACATTTTGTCACAAAGCAGTTATTTGGGAAACAACCTTATTTTGGCTGTGATAGAAGATCATCCCTAAAGTTAGTGTATTCTTATGTTAAGATGTGGGTGAAAACTGGCAGCAAATGCTTGCAAATAAATTGTACCAGTTCATATATTGCTCCACTTCCCACACCTCTGCACTTATTCCCCTCCTTTACATTTACATACATATAATGAACAAGCAAGGAGAGTGTAAGCAAGTGAGACAGCTAGCAGCTATGTCTAAATCAACTCTAGTTTTTGCAGTATTTTTGTAAAGACATCTACTGAGACTCCACATAAAGCAAACAGCAAAACCCTTGGGACGGTATCTCAGGTCTTAGACTGGTATCTGCAAGTAGGATAAAATAAAGAGCGCACAAATATATCACTGCAAAAGTCAATGTTTACCTCACAGGTTTTGATATGTTCCTGTTCCCACTCTGTCCTGACCTTATCCAGCTGTTCAATGTTCTGTTTGTACACATTCTCTGTAAACACAGACACACATAATAGAAACCCAACAGTTAGGAAAAAAATTATACAGGCTTTCTCTTTTTCCTCCTATTAGGACTTTGCTGTGGTTCTTACACTTTAGGCCTGTGGTTTGCTAGACTATCACAAGAATGTGTGAGCTTGAAACTGGTAGGCTGCAAGGATATTTGGGGTTCTTTTTTGCAACTTTATACTAGAGTAAGGATTGGTCTGCATGGTTTGCAGATCATGTGTAAACTTTACAGTAGGGATAATGCAAACCAGAGATGGAGAGCCTGGACCATGCTTGGGCACTGAGCATCCTTAGGCTCTTCCCGTGCTGAGCCAGCCAGGTAAGCCTTGTCATTTAGTGTAAACTTTTACACGAGCAGTGAGGGACAAGTCTGAACTCATGAACCAGCTCAGATGTCTGCTAGCCTGTCCTTCTGGACATGCACTGCTTTTCTGGCTGGATAATGCTACCATGCTCATGTACAGGGAACCTAGAGACTGTGTATCTGGTTTGGGCTGGCTGGGGGCAATTTGAATGTCATTCTTTTGTGCTTTCAAACTTGCTTCAAGAAGAGCTTTTCTTTCCTGGGTGAAGCCCCTAATGGAGGTCTTCTATAAATTCTTTAATGAAAGCAGGAGACTCGCATTTCCACAAAGGAAAGTAAATGTAGATGACTATCAGGCTGCCGTTCTTTAGAAGCTTCTTCATTAAACTTTGGGTAGGTGACTTTGGGAAACCTGACTTCAAACAGAGCCAGCCTGGGTGATTTGGGTGGTGCTCTATCAAAATGAGTGTGCTGGTAGATCTTCGCTGGGAAAAATCTTAGTTCAATTGCAAATAGAGCATCACCTGCTTCATTTGCTGCATCTCTGCATTGCTTGGCTTTGTTCTGACTCTGAAACAGGAAAAGAAACATCCCAAATTAATTTCTGACCATATTTTTTGCTTCTGCCCCAGTTTTTTTGCTGCCTGCTCCCTTTCCCCTTCTAGGAGAAAGGCTCAAAATTGCAAACACTTCTTGGCTGTCCCATCTTTATGCATGGTTCTGTTGAATGTCTGCTATGGAGAAGAAGGGACTGGAATTTCACAGATACAGCCATAGGTCCACTGACTTCAAGGGAAATCTGGCAATTTACATCTTTCCATTCGGACATCCCTGCCATAGGAGCTCAGTGCTAGCATGATCCAGCCTGAAGCTTGTGTCTGCTGGCTGAGTTGTTTTTTCTCAAGTGTTTGATGTGCTTTTCTAATAGATATTTATTAGCAGAAATAAATAGCAATTAAAATTCTTCATCTTCCAAGCTCCTCATGTAATACACAGATGAAAAGAACACAGCCTTTAAAATACTTTGCAAATGCTAGATTATTTCCCATAACAACTCAGAAGCCTAAAAGCAAAATTCACTCTAAGTAGAACTTTTCTTTTTTAAAAACCTGCAGCTTTTAACAAATGAAAATACAGCTATTATTGACAGCTCTGTACTCCCAGGTCTTTCTGCACAGATGGTGATGACAGTACATTAATGCACGGCTCTAGACATCAGTGTAATACATTCTTCCATTCTGCCCTTCAAGACAAGGCTCAGGTAGGGGTTCTTATGACCATATTCCTCATCACAGCTGGTTGGAAAATGTGCAGTAAGCTGGGAACATAAGCTTCATTCTTATTTGCTTCCTGGCCCAAACTGTTTGCGGGTGCTGCGCAGAATTAAACAGTTTACATGTTTCTTGTGAAATGCCTCTGTGCATTTCAAATGTGCTGGCATGTGTGTGGAAGTAATGGCAATGGAGCACCCTTGGATCCTTCTGCATGAAAGGAGCTGGGTCAGATTTTGATGCCATTGAAGTTGCTAAGTGTTCTGGTGTAATTTCAGTAGGGCCAGGATTTCATCCCCCCTTTACAGCTAAGCTGGAGGGTTTTGTTCTGATGCTGTTTTTAGAGTCTCCATCCCCCCGCTCCTCGAGATAATTTTTGATCCTTTTTGCTTACACTGCACTGATTTTTATTGAGCCAAAGGGAGTTCATTTATTTTGTTTTCTCCATCTGTTCCACTGTAAAATGTTCCCATTAAAAGTTAGTGAATTGTCAGCTACAAGTATCAAGACGATGCAATGAAGGACTGCAGTGCCTTAATTTCCAATGATTTATTTTTGAGTTTGTAAATTTAGTTGAAATTAAACTAACTATAAGGAGAAAAATGTTGAGGAAAAATATGCATTTTAATGTAAGATACTATGCTTACTAAATGTAAGTGACCAAAAGGCAAAACTAACTGCATGACATACTTCTGACTTGTTTCTTTTTTTAGGAATAATTTTGGAGAAAAATCTCGTTCAGTTTCCCTTCAGGATTCGTAGAGCAATTACATCATAGCCTGGGATAAATTAATTAGATAACTTAGTCCCTTCCCAGCCTTTTTAAAAAACCCTTAGCCTGTCACAGAACAAGATCAGGGTTACTAAAGAAGTGTGAAGTAAGACCTTCTTGGGAAGGTGGTTTCTTTTAATTTTTATTCTAAGGGGTTAATTAGAATGGAAAGCAGGCCCTGGCATCCTGCAGAATGAGTTGTTCAATTATATTCTTTTGTACCTTGAAAAGGAAAAAACCACAGTTTTCCCTCTAAATAGCACTGTAATCTAAGGTACCTTTTCTGTTTGCTTTTGGTTGCCTGAAGCACTTATCCGTTCAAAGGACTGCTCAGCCTCATCCGCCTCCTTGCACTTCTGTTGATAGGTCTTCTTTGACTGTATTGAAATGAAATCAAATGTGATGGTTTGGGTTAGGGAACAAGGCTGGGTTGTCTTCAGCATGATGTTCTAGGCATTTTCTCTTTTGCAGTCTAGAAGAGCAAATCAATGCCCAAGTTTGGGCAACAGAAAAAATTCCCAATAACACCATAAGGAGATAGAAAAATAGAACTGAAAAATTGGGGTGGGGCTGGAAGCATAAATCAGGTCCTTTTCTTGCAGCCCTGAAATTGTTTGCTTTGTACAATTGCAGCCAGCTCCCTGCAGGGGTGGTCACAAATACACTGGCAGCTCTAGCACCATTGGTGCATCAGGCGTCTGTCCGAGCTACAGTGTAGAGACAAAATTAGGAGCCCACCTCCCAGGTTGCCAATGGGGATGCATTGTCATTTCTACAGTGTGACTTGGAGCATCAGGTGGCTGAAGTCAGTGTGTTGCCTTGCCCATTGCTCCAAGCTGTGAGACAGAGCCAGCACCCTGTAGGTAACAGTCTTGGTGTAGTCCTCAGAAGCAAAAGAAATTCTTATTTGCACCAAAAGACCTCCCTGTCTTAGAGATTCACTTAGAATAACTGCGTTTAAATAAAAAATGTTAGTACAGTTCCAGCTGTAGCACTGATGGGTCTGCAACTACTTTTCTTTAGAGGCAATTGCCCACTGGAAACCAAAACGAGCTGCCTGCAATTCCTGTACCTGCAAGTTACCCAGCTGGAGAGGTTTCTTCCTGTTTGCAAGATTCCCTCACTGTTTCTAAAATTGTATTTACACAGACTGAAAAATCACATTTGCTCCTGTAAGTATCCTTGCCTAGAAAGAATGAAATCTTGTTTGACCTGGAACATTGTTCATTCCACATGAACTTTCTGAGTATTTGTTTTGGAGACTCTTCAGTGGGTGTGGCAGGGAAGATTAGCTTCCTCCTCATAGCAGGAATCACATCCTGTCTCTCTCACACACACTTGCACGCTCACACATTCCTGACCTTTCTTTAGATATAGGTATGTGTGATACGGATTTCACCCTGTCTCAAACTGGAGCCAGTTTGCATCAAGAAACCTGCACAAAACCTCCTTGCTTACCTCCATTGTTTTCTTATAATGGGACAGTTTGCTCTTTTGTATGCGCTCCATTGCAGACTCATACTGTAAGAAACACACAGAAATAAGCATTTCTTGCTTTAGACTTCTTCCTCCCCTTTTTAGTGGCAGGATTAGTAAAGCCATTGTCAGGGCCTTTCTGTAAGCCACGTGCCTGTGGGGAAAATGACTTCACTATGCTTTTATAAATGACAGGTTCTAAGTGAAGCAGAGAGCATCAAAGTGCCAGGTAAAAAAATAATCCAAGATAATTCTGCTTCAGTGGTTTCCATTAATAGCAGAGAGGATGTAAATCTTCATTTTCTCCCCACCCACCCATCACCTTTTTTTTTTTCTTAAGGAGATTAAATAGCATAACACCCAGTCACAGTGCCCATCAGCTCTGCCAGCAGAGTTCCTTTGCTGGTGCAAGAGCTTGATCCCACATCTTTGCAGACCAAACCACTGTCTCACCCATGTGAGCAAGGGTAGTTGTCCATTTTAAACACAAACAATTCCTGTGTAATTTATATTCCATTGCTTCTGGCAAATTTATGCTCAATGTGATTTGATTTCCATACCATCAGCTGGTCAGCGTTGGAAGGACAGTGCTTAATTCTCTTCTATGGCTTTAGTTGTGATATGCCCAGCCTTATGTGACAGTGAGATATGCTCCAACTTGGCAGGGTATGTGTTTCTTCAGTGGGACTTTTGGTCCTTTAATCTTTATATTCTGCTCAAGCAAAACTCTCTCTGGCGCTACCCGGGGACTTGCTTCACATTGGGCTAAATAGCACAGTCCTTAGAGCAGCTACAGTGAAACACAGATCACAGCATTTTGGGAGGTTACCAACAATGCTGACACCATCTAGTGTGTCTAATATTGACTTCCTCACAGCCACATGCTGGATGAAGAAAAAAAGCTTGCCTAAGACTCCAAAGCAGTTTTTCCCTTTTTTCCAGGCCCCTCTAACTGTTTGCAGTTGAGTTACAGGCTTATTGTTTTCAACAGGAGAGCAAGCCTCTCTCTTTGCAAATCCTAGTGGAAAAGTGTGTGTGTGGGGGGGATACAAATGCTGATGAACTAGGTGCACTCTGTCTGTCTTTATATGCCTTATTTGCTTTATCAGATCGCTGTGGACCTCAAATCTCAGTAGCAACACTTGTTTTACCCACTTTCATATTCGGAGTTCTTTGCTATTCCAAGTTTCTGTGTGTCAGGATTGTACACACAAGATTTTTGTGGCATTGGATACTGGTCATATACATTTTCGTTTGTTTAAAATTAGCAAAGAACTGGATATTTTATTTTACTCCTCTATCAATCAGTGCTTTCAGTGTTAAGTGACTGTCCTGTCTTTGTCTTCAACCCCATGGAACCAGGGAAGATGTAAGAGCAACCACTGTTGTCTCTATTAAGAGCTACTTTTTCAAGGGACTTAGAGCTTGATAAGATCATAGGGGATGAAATGGCCCTAAATACACTCAAATTTTTACTATACAACATCAACTAGATGCTATTTATTCCATATATTTGTAATTCATCATATATTGGTGTTGTATTCATCATGATATTCATTTGCTTTTATGTTTTTAAATGTTTGTGTTACCCCTTTATTTTAGTGCATGTTGGAGATCATGCAGGATCATACCAAAGAAACCCAATTAGCAAGGGTATAAAAAAAGAGAAAAGGAAGGATTAAGTTCTTACAGGAATAATAATAGTATCTGCAGTTACACCGGAGAGAGTAAAAGTGACTAAAGCCTCTGTCTCCTGAGTTCAGAGCACTACTTTATTTCCAGCTGGGATCAGAAAGAGATTTTCTTTCATAATCTAGTATACAGAGTGAACAGGGCACACTGGGCATGTCTTATCATCTTTTGCAGTATTCACAGCCTGTGGCTGGAGACAAGTCATCAGCATGGACCATTGACCCAATCTGTTTCAACAGTTCTCTAGTTCCTCACCTTCTTTCTTTGTTCCTTCTGTCTTTCTCGGAACTCCTCTATTCCTTTCAGTTCATCCTTCAGCATTACTGCCAGCTGGATATGAGAGTTTCCCACACTTTCGATTTCTAAAGCAAATCAGAATTCATATACAGTCAGTGGAAAGGTGTTTAAATATGAAGTCACATTTTTTAGGAGATGTTTCTGAGATGTGGCTGCTGTATTACTTGTCATGAACAGGGCAGCCTTAAAAAAGGCACCCCTATGTTTCTGCATGCCACTGACATTGCCGAGGGTTCACACAACCTGAACAGGGCTTATTGCAGGTCTTCTCAGTGCCTGCAAAATGCATGGGCAAGACGTCTTGCTGCAGAATTGGAGCACCCACTCAGAGCAGCCTTGGCAAGTGCAGCGCCAGCTGCATTTCTTCATAGTCCCATTTACCCCAGCCACCCCCCTTCCTTCTGTGGCTGGAGGTCAAATGTAGTAGTGCACAGGGAGGGAAGGAGCTCTGACCTCTATCATCACTCCCTGTGTCTGCTTTCCTGCCACTATGCTGCTGGATTGTCATTGCTCTTGGGAGCTACTTGCCAGTTGCATCCAGCCTTGCACAAATGTCATTAGATGAGGCTGCAAGCTGAGAATTTCCAAGGGTCAGCAAAGATGAATTGAATTTCAGAGCACCTGGCTGATGCTGTTTGAAGTAGCTGGTAACTTCTCTGCATTTGTCAGCTTTGGTGCCTCTGAAATGGAACCCCACATTTTCCAGAAGTGTTGAGCTCCCCCACCCAGGCTCTAAAAATACCTTAGTTCACCAGCTGCTTTTCAAAAGAGTGTTTTTAATCTAAACAGCAGGTGCCGGTAGCCAGGTACGCTGTCCTATTGGCTATGATGGTGCTGTATTTTCTGTGTGTGAAAGGTTTTTGTTCAGCCTTGGGCACATTTAGGAAAGCATGCTGTTTTCATGTCAGCGGTTTACAGAAGAGGTAACAGAGCTGATATTTTGTGACTTGATCCAGAAAAAACTAACTCGAGGAACAAGCCATTTTCTTTACTACCAGTGAGGGGATTGAGTGCCCAGCCTTGGAGGACTCCCAGTGAGTGTCCTTCCCCTCCACTCTCCACACTACAGACTGGGATAGAAAAGTTGGAAATAGAGGGGGGAAGAGGATGAAAGCCCCCAGAGGGAATGAACACATTTCGTGCCTGTCTTACCCAGGTCAGAAAGGCAGATATAAATACTTACGTTGCTTGAGAGTCTCAAATGCTGCCTTCAATGTGCTGTGAGGCAGAAACAAGTGCACTTTATTAGTATAGGCTTCTAAGGGTGGGTTGTGAATCTACAGAAAAAACTTTCCCGCAGCATCTCAAAGATCCACATAGAGATAAAACTCTTAATAGTCTTGTAATAAAAGTTGACCATGCTAACAAGCACAACAGCATCAATCTCTTACTGTCAGGAAATACAATAAAATGCTCCATGAAGCAAGGAATTGCACTACTTATGTGCAGCCTCTTTTTTAATCCCACTGTATTTAAAACTGTGAATGTTAACAGATGTTTCTCTATTCTTGTGCCTTGCCAATGGATACAAGTCAACTCAGTGAAATAAAGGTGGTCAAGGGGAACTGGGTTTTGGAGCACTAGTCTGAAGGGTAGAGCGAAACCAGCTCCACCCTCTGTGTTGAATGCAGCACCAGCAAATTTTTCCTCCTCAGTCACCCTTGAAGCTAGGGCAGCTCTGCTATGCAGCATCCTCCATACTATGCTTTCCGAGCACCCCCGTGTGGCACAGCTCACTCTCCTTTAAGAGACTCACAAATGCTGCAGAGAGCCTATGGAGGCTTTGAAACCCTGATGCTCCCACGGGTTTTCAACATCCCAGAAGCACAGCATGAATAAACCCTGCTGTGAAATCAGGCCTCGGTGCTGGGCTGTGAAGTACAGCATGGAGATGAGCAAAAGGAGATGTTAATGCTGCTCGTCCGGATGGACCTACATAACTAAGCGGTCCTACAATGTAGAGTTGCAGAAGGGCATGAAAGGGTAACGATAGATTGCCTGATGTCCGTTTTTTGGCAAGCCAGAGTCCATTTTAAGAAAGCACCAGAGATACCAGCATAGAAATGATGGGAGAGGAAAGAGCATAGTCCATAAAAGGCATTTTCAACTTAGTAATTTCCTCTAGCTCTGAGTTTGCAGGCTGGCAGGGCATTTGTATATGCAGAAGCCAGGGCTGTGGTATGATTTGGAGGTTTTTCAGATTTAGAAATCGTCTCTTCAAGACCCAGAGTGTGTTGTTCCCTGAAGGAAACTGTTCTGGGATCTCCACGGAGCCCTGGTGGGAGCCCAGGGGAAAAGCCTGTTAATGAAGACCCTGAAGTCTCCCTGGCTGAAGCCCAGCTACTAGGAGAGCCCAGAAGAGGATGCATATCACTTTCCAGCCATGTGCGACTGCAGATGGGTAGGGAAATCCTGTATCTCTTGGGCTGTTCAGAAGTCTTAAGAGACACATGAAGGATCCTAATTGCCCTGTGTTAATTTAGGCTGGACATCTGTTTCCTAATCAAAGCTTGCTCTCCCAGTAGCAAGGCTGCCTTGCCAGGCATAAGAAAAATGCACAGGCAAGGGGAAAGGCTGGGCCTGTCCTCAGCGATAACGGCTGTGCAATCCACTTCCAAATTGAAATTTGTAGAAATATAAGGAAAAGATTTTCAGCCAGAAAAGATGAGTATTGAGCTAACTGTTTGATTCTTTCAGCTTTCAACTAGGCTTGTTGTGGTGAATCTCCTGAGATAAGTCAGTGAAAACATGCTAGATTGAGTATTTTTCAGTATTGTCCTAACAATACTTAAGCATTTTGAAGGGTCATTTTGCAAAAAAATGAGTCCGGTGTGAAATTTTGATGGAAACTAAATTTTTACAACACAAAGGAAACAAACAGTATTCTTTCCAGCTAAGTTAATTAAAAGCTTGAAATTAAAAGACAAGTTGAATATCAGCAGCAGAGATAGCTTTTTCTCGCCTAAAAGCTCTAATGGATTATTTTGAAAATTCAAATACATACAAGGAATAAAATTTGCTTTTCTTACTGTGGCTTTTCCAATAGGAGGTGGGGAATGTGCTAACAGCTTCATGCCTGAAATAATTAAATACTGGAATTTAAGAAAGAGAGGACACTTGCAAACTGCACATACTGTTTGCACGCTGTGTTGACTTATTGTTCCCAGAGATTTTTTTTCCTTTGCTGTTGGTGATTCACGTTATGCTAAGACTGGCAAAATTGCTCTAGTGGATACTGAAAAATAGCACTTTCTCAGTACATATCAAGGATAAAAGCAATTTGCTGCTTTTTTGGTTTCCAGGCACCTGAGCTACCAGAGTAGTTCACGATCATAAGCCATACATGAAGCTTTTCTCCTTTTTGTTGGCTTTCCGTAAGGACAAGTGTGTCTTCTGGTATAATAACCCGTCTGGCTATGACCTGGAGAGAGACCAGTTTGCCCCCTGTGTGGGCCCTAATGGCCTTTTCAGAAAGCTCTGGCCTTTTGCTCCTTGTGTGAAAGATTTGTCCAGCCAATCCCCTAGCTGCTGACTGGGGCAAGGCCACAGTCCGTAAGTAGATTGAAATAGACTTAAGCCATTTCCTCTCTTATTTTTTTAACAATTTTTCTAAAAGCAGTGAATTGGATCCCTCATCCTTATGGGGCTTAAGGGAGTAGCAAATATGTCATTGTGCCAAGTTATGTGTGGGAGAGAATAAATAAATCAAATTTTGACCCATGGAGCCATCAGGATTTCCTTTATGACTTCTGGGCTGTGGGGATGTGCTGGCTGCAGCAGCAGTGCTATAGATTAGCTCCTCATTGCTGCTAGATGCTCTGATTATATCAGTGAAATATATCATTTCAGTGCTTCGGTGGGTTTAATGGAAGCAACTCGTGTAACCAACATACAAGTGAGTTTTAATTTTGCTTGTGCTGTTTTGTACGTGCAATACCTATTACCTATTTTTTCTGGGTGAGTTTGACTTTCTAAGAGGACTGATAAGGGCTTTATTCTGAAGCATCCAAAGTGAGGATGTCTCATTCTCATGGACACTTCAAAAAGCGTGTTTTATCCTTTCAGTATATTATGCTGCTTAGCATTGTGGTAGTAATTAATTTTGGTTTTTTGTTTGTTCTGTGGCCAAATAAGAAAACCTGGGGTTGAAAATCATTCAAGCAAAACTGAAAATTTGTGATTTGCCTTTTTTCATTTTTATTTTTAATTTTTTTTTTAACTTTTCACTTCTGACATTTCCATGTAAATTCTGGAAGACTGTTAAACCACTCCAGTTAAAGACAGAGCACCAGCCTTCCCTTTGGGCATCCCTACGTGGAGCCTCCTGCAGGTGTCTCATTGAAAATAGGGTTGGACACAAATTTACCGTGCATGTTTGTTAAACGTCTCCCCCTTGGATATTTAAAGATTGGATTTGTCAAAATTAATTTCTGGTGGAAACAGGATTGACTCTGAATCCGGAATAACGGGGAACAGAGAGAGCCTGTGCAGCAACCACTCTGCAGCAACTTCTGGTGATTTTTGCCATCTAGCGGCTAAAATATTCTTATCGTTTTCTGGAATACCGACCCTGCCTGCTGCCTTCATTTGCCGTAGTCTCCTGCTACTCGAGTACAGCGGAATTAAGCTGCTTTTGTAAAATGTGCACGTTTCAGTGTTTGCTTTTTCAAGTGGAGGGGGAGAAGGAGAATAGCAGAGCTTTTAGAGGAACAGGGGAACCAAGGAGAGAAGCTCATTACAATAAAGCTCACCCATTGTTAAGCATTCTTGCTCTGTAGATCGCAAAATACTTTCCAAAGTGAACTTATCCAAATTTGCCCAGCACACCAAAGCTCAAAAGGGAACCCTATCTCTCTAGGGCACTGACCACTAGTCCCTGTGGCTCTCCTCTAACAGGACAAACATTTACAGAATGCATCGTTTGAGTGCTTGGTTTGATTTTTCTCCCAGCAGAACCTGTCCCCTGCTTTCAAGGCAGAAAATGCATCCTGTATTTGAGCAGAGATGCCTTGTTTGGCACTCACCCACCATCACAGTACAGGTATGAGCAGCAGTGAGGAACTACTGCATCTGATCATAAATCCATTTTGCCCAGTGTGCAAAATTATATCTCTTTAGGAGGGAGACTTGATTGGAACAGTGTGGGATAACAGCACTTCCAAGTGAACTTGTCCTTGCTGCTCCCTGTGTTTGCTTTCTCTCCATTTTTGGACCTTGTTTTTGCTAGAGAACTGGGCTGTTGCTGGAGAGCAGGCCATGCTCGGCAGTCCTACATGACATGAGGACCACTGGGAAATGTGCTGTAGATAGGGCTCTGGTACCTTCTGCTTCACAGTCATCAAAAGCTGAATTTTATGGCACCAGAGATGTAATTAGCAGGGCTCTATCAGTGGCAGTGCTTAGGTCAGAAGTATACTCACTATGTACACTGTTGCACCACACTTTTTTTTTTCCCCCCAACTTTAGGCTTGGTGGTGTGGGAAATTTTTTCAGTACTTTGCCTTTAGAGACTGGTTTAACTGAGTAATTCAGAGAGTCCCTTTACATCTTGTACACAGGAAAGTAAAACCACAGCTCTTTTTAACTTTTCTTTCTTTTCTACCTTTGCTTGGTGAATAGAAGTGTGAAATAAACCCCACCTTTCTTTCTGGCAGGTTTCCATTTTAACATCAATATGATGTACAATGTTCTGTTCTTATTGTAATTTTTAAAAATATTCTTTCTGAAATTGAGAGAAGTCTCTGCCAGATGAACTCTACAGACCACTTTCCAGCAGTCCTGTTTACCCTCTGACTCCGGTAACTTAGATCCTGAGAACATGGTTATGAAACCAACCCAAAGCTAGTCTCCTCTGAGGCCATAGTTAACATCTGTCTTTTTTCCTGCCACACAGGGAAGACCCAACGTGGTTTTACCAACATTTCTTTCTGTGAAGCCCAGTGGTGGTAGCAAAGTGTGGGGAAACAAGTTCAGAAGCATCTGGTCCCAAATAATTTGCACCTGGGACTGTCTGTCTGCAAGGCAAAAAAGAAAAGAAGGGGGAAGTGTTGTGGTCTTTTAACAGGGAGGTAACTAAGTCACTACCAAGTCCTAGGCCAGGCACATAGCAGAGTATTTCACACGAGAATCATATCTAATATTGTTTAGGGGGGATGCAGTGAAAACATTGAGGAATTTAATCTTGCCAGGATGTTTTCTTCTCGTTCTCAGCGGAGCTA